AGTCTCCTTGTCCCTCTCCCTCCCCTTTCCCCGCCTCAAACAAATAAAATCTTTAAAGAAAGTAGTAAAATAAAAAATAAAAAGTACACGTGAAAGTGCTCTGTAAATAGAAAACTAATATACAAATATAAGATGTCTTACTAAAATAAAAGAAGTACCAGAAGTACTAAGAAGTAACGGGATAAAAATTTAACGTTATTTCAAAGCCTCAGAATTATCACTATGAATGTTAGCTACTGCACTACATTTATCATATGAAGGCCTTGAGATATATCTAGGTGGGCAGAGTTCTAGACTGCTTGCCTTTTCAGTTCTTTTGTGGTTTTTAATAGTTTTCCTAAGAAGTACCCTGTCAGCTTAAAATCTCTGTCAGTCCAGTTTCTGGGAGAGGAAAGTCAGACCTGGTTTCCTCTCAGTGAGGACCCAATAGGCGTAAGCAGTAAAGAGAAATTACGTCTCACACAGAAATTAGAAGATAAAGCATAGAGCAGATCACTTTCACTCTCCCAGTAGGTCTCGAAACTGCCTAGGTACTTGTATAACCCGATGAAAGCCATCAGAGCCCCAGTGAAGAAAGACAAAGAAATGAGAAGGCATTATTAGTTATCCACATATCGTAGAAGAAAACAGAGACTCAGAACTAAGTTCGTTAATTTTTCAAAGTTAGACACTAGCTCTTCAAGGCTAGATAGCTTACCAGCACTAAAACAGGATTTTGTCTCTAAAGCCACTGTACTTCTCTATCACTTCCCTTGTTCTGCCAGTTAATATAGCAAACATCAGGGGCGCCTGGGTGGCTCAGTGGGTTAAAGCCTCTGCCTTCGGCTCAGGTCATGATCCCAGGGTCCTGGGATCGAGCCCCACATTGGGCTCTCTGCTCAGCAGGGAGCCTGCTTCTCCCTCTCTTTCTCTGCCCACTTGTGATATCTCTCTCTCTCTGTCAAATAAATAAATAAAATCTTTAAAAAAAAAAATAGCAAACATCAGACTTTACTTTCCTTCTGTAAGCTTTGGTATTATCCTGACCTGAGACATATGCTCTGAAAATACAATTAGCTCAAATATTAATCAACTTTTCTAATGACTACATTTTCTGTGTCTTAAACTATTACCTGCTAATATGCTTCAGAACGATTCCAATTGGACATATTTCTAAGTTTCAGATTTATCTCTCCTGTCATACTCATTTAGGTAGGCAAAAATCTACTAGGTTCATCAGACTGCTTGACTTGGTGAATGGCATATTTATTCACAGAGTTAAGTTCTCAGGAAATAAGCTTTGTTCAAAGACTGAAAATTACAAGAATTTTTATGTTTTAGTAATAAATTCTCTATTCACTGTTAAGAACAAATCTTCAAAAGCCTGGTCTAAATGCAAACACATAAAATATCTTTTCTCTTTTCACCAAGGGACTGGTCTATGTTCGTATGGTGCCATAAGCCAAGTTATTAGAACTTTTAAAACAAAAAACCTTAAATTTAGTATAACACGTCTTTAAAATTCCAAAAATCTGGATTCACACAGTTCCTCACACAGAAACAGATTGTAAAATGACCTAATATTACCTGATTTCATGTATGTGAAAGAGTCTGAATCACTCATGTATGATAGATAAATGTATCTGTAGTTAAAATTATATTGTTTTAAATTATAACCTTGTTTTATGTTTCTAAGTTTTATAGGGTTTTATGTACTGTAAAATCGTCTATATTAACCTTTGACAGGTTTATGCTAGTAAAGGAGATTTGTACCTGAGCAATCTGCTTGGAATAAAAACCATGGGTGTCACTGTTTTTTAAATCATATCTTCCTCTCTCCCTTCTTCCACAGTTCCACAAATACCACCTATCATTTGGTGATTCCAAAAAACCTTCAATTTTTCAATTTCAATTTTTGATAATGGTCTCACACCAATCTTCATTCACAATGATAATAAATGCTCAAGTCAAATCCTTTCATATCATATGTAAAATACTTCCAACTGTGACATATGTCTAAGTCTTTGACTTTACTGACATGCCTTTTCCCTTTGTTTTTAGCATGTAAGACAGATCAGGGGTCAGTAAACTTCTGTAGAGCCAGAAGAAGTACTTTAGGCGGGGCAGGCCACGGGGGTCTTTGTTGCAACTACTCAGCCAGCAGCCACAATGCAAAAGCAGCAGCAGGTAACACAGGAATGAATGGGCTAGATTTAGCAGGCACCCTACTGGATTTGGACCCTGGCAGTAGCTTGCTGATGCCTGAGCTAAGTGATTGGAGAAATGAATAATTGGGCTACTACAATCACCTGGGGTATCTTACTACTTAGACTAATAGAGGAAACCATTCATAGCCATGCTGAATTTACACTTCAGCACTAAACCCATGACTCTTGACCAGAGTGCTAAAATAGCTACACATCTTGGTTAAGCACACTACCAAATAAATAAGGCCTTAATTTTGGCCAGGATTTCAAACTTGTCTACTATCTCCGTTTCTCACCTTATTTTCCCACTTTATGCCAATTCCAGTGGACATAATACTAATTTTTTTTTTTGGTCTCAGGAAGGCCAAGGCATCATCACCTTCTATCCCTTTTATAGAAAGAGGCTTCTATTTCCCCTACTTCTGTTACCAGACTGTAAAGGAAAATGCCCACTTTATCAGCCCTTCTTGCAGCTTAGCATGGCCATGTAATAAAGTTCTGGATAATAAATATCTCATGAAAGACTGCTGGAGGTTGGGGGCGGGGTGGGGGGGAGCAGAGTGGGGACTGCCTGAGAAAAATTTCACTTTTTTTTTTTTAAAAAAGGAGACTGAGTCACAACTGCCAGAACTCCTTCCTCCGCCTTCTCCCTGCCCTAGGGCAAAGATGATATCTGGAATTAGAGCAACCATTCTGCAACCATTAGAACAAGCTAAGAGAACTGTGGAGCTCCAGTGCTGAAAACTTTAAGCCACTGAAGCAATACCAGAGGCCACTTATCTCCAGAGTTCTTACGTAGGGGGCACCTGGGTGGCTCAGATGGTTGTGTCTGCCTTCGGCTCAGGTCATGATCCCAGGGTCCTGGGATCCAGCCCCGCATTGGGCTCCTTGCTTGACAGGGAGCCTGCTTCTCCCTCTCCCTGTATTGCTCCCCCTGCTCGTGTTCTCGCACGCTCTCTGTCAAATAAATAAACAAAATCTTAAAAAAAAAGATGCTGTAAAATGAGAATTTTTGTTACAAATAAAAATATTCCTAATCTACCTTTTCTTGGAAGTCCAAGTCACTATTCCTTGTGACAAGTGAAGGACCAAAGTGGCTGAGCAGTTTGTTGTGAGTTCTGACTAAACAGCACTACTTTAACCCAGAGAGAGAAAAGTAGCAGGAAGAAAATCACAAAAGCGGGTCTAACCTGAGAGCTGACAGCCTAGTACAATAAAGTCAATGAAGGCAAAGAAAAGAGAAGATCCAAGATAATTACTCAAATGCTAAAAGTTATAGAAAAGAAATAATTGAGAAAGTACACCTTTAGAATTGTAGGCAAATAAACTTTGTCCATGTCCTGCTCAGCGAATTGAATCAGAAAATTTTGATTATATTAATTTCCAATTGTGTATTCCCACTTTTTGATAAAACAAAAAATTCAGAACTCATTTTTTACATTTACATTTTTTAAAAAGATTTTATTTATTTATTTGACAGAGATTACAAGTAGGTAGAGAGGCTGGTAGAGAGAGAGGAGGAAGCAGGCTCCTTGCTGAGCAGAGAGCCCCATGTGGGGCTCGATCCCAGGACGCTGGGATCTTGACCTGAGCCGAAGGCAGAGGCCTTAACCCACTGAGCCACCCAGGTGCCCCTACATTTACATTTTTTTTTTTTAAAGATTTTATTTATTTATTTGACAGAGAGAGATCACAAGCAGGCAGAGAGGCAGGTAGAGAGAGAAGAGGAAGCAGGCTCCCTGCCGAGCAGGCTCCCTGCCGATGCGGGGCTCGATCCCAGGACCCTGAGATCATGACCTGAGCCGAAGGCAGCGGCTTAACCCACTAAGCCACCCAGGCGCCCCTACATTTACATTTTTTAAATGTTTTTTCCCAAGTGAATTATTTATACCTTTACGTTTCTATTTCCCTGGTGTTCACAAAGGTAGAGTTATTGTCCATGTATGGTAATTTTAACACTTGAAGAGCTTTTGAAATAATTATTAGGGATGAAGTTAATAATGATATTGCCAATATGGGCACGGGTTCCTTCAAGTATTCATAAACTAGTTTCGCTGGCCAATCTATCACCCTAACTTTAAGGATAGTCACTTCTCTTTTATATCTATACCACTGCAAAAACATCCAAAGGTAAGTAGCCCAGCCAAAAAAAACTTCAGAAATATGCTTATTTTAACTTGCATATACCTTAACATATAATTCTTAAGTTAAAATACCAGCTTTTATTTTACTTTCTTACAAATAGTGCAATATATATTACATACACACACACACACACTCACACATACACCTCTCTCTCTAGTTCTTAAACCCAATAGTCTCCTCCTCCATGAGAATTTCCGTGTATTATGCTGCAATGTAAACACTTACCAATTATGACATCTACAAATTACAATGGTTTTTTTTTTTTAATTTTTATGATTTCAGAGTAGAATTCCTTAGGGCTGTCAAAGCTTTAGCTAGAAAGAATGCCAAATACAAAGAGGTTTCAGGCTCAGTTAGAGCAGTGCAACAGAATTCGGTAAAGTTCCAACACTACATTTTAATGCCCAAATTTCTTATTGTCTTTTTTAGTTGACAAATATGTGCTCTGCAGCAGAACAGCAGCGGCAGAACAGCTGGGTGGCTGTATCAAGCACAAAGGAAGCAACAGCACATGCTGTTAAGTGTCGTTTTGATTGCCTAAAAATGGCAGCCCATGCAGATTTATTCCCTGTTATAAATTAGAACAATTATTTCTCTGGAGCTTACATTTTCTTCATGAAAGAGTCAAACTTCCTGCACATTAAAAAAGAGGACTTTCAAAAAGGATATCTTCCCTTTCTTTGATGATCAGATCATTCTGTTCTTCCAACTGCCTGATCTTCTTCTCAAATGATTCCTGCTCGGCTCGGAATCGTTCTTCTGTCACTTCCTTTTCCTCACTTACTCTGAAATACAAAAATGAAAAGAAAATGCCTATGAGAATAAGAAAATATGTGCCTACAGCTGTCATCTACCAAAACCAGATTTCTTCCAGAGGTGTGCTGTTATCTTCAGGGATAATCTATATTTGGCTTTTTAAAAAAATTAACCTCTCATAAGGCAATCTTGCATACCTTTGTGATAAAATATGAACTGGATTTTTATATCAAAAATGTTCCCAATCATCAGATGTATCTTAAATATGGAAAGTCCAACATAGAATATAAGTTTCGAATTGTAATCCAGGACAGAAAAATATCCGACTTTTAAAACACAGTTTCATTTCTCATCAAAACAGACACAAATAATTTATTTTGATTTGAATCTTTTTCATATTTTTATTTAAATCCTGTCAATGAAATAAACAATCTATATCTCTCTTAAATATTTCATATATACACATAGGTAATTAATTTTATTCTTTTCCTTGGTACTGATATCCGCATTCCTCAGTAGCATATAAATAACCAGACTAGAATAAAAAGATGGCATTAACATAAAAGAAACTACAAGTATTCTTAGTCCAAAAAGAATTACAAGTGTTAAAAAAACACTGACCAAAAAAATCTGTATCTTTAATGTTTAACTCTGAGAAGTATTCCAACTCAATATTATCAAAAAGAGGTGACTTCTGACAGGAGGACAGGGGGGAAATTTAAAAACCCCAATTAAACAAGAACAACATTAAAACTTATTTTAAAATGACAACTCTATTTCTCATGTTACTCTGTGCATAGAGATGTTTGCCCCGAATTTTTCTGTGACTCTTGCTTATGCCTCCAAAGAGAGTACAACATTTATCTTACAAGATCACACAGCAATATGTGTAAAGGAAATCCACGGGGACTCCTTTGAGCTCCAGAATTTACTTCCTTCCAGACCCCAGCTCTACTACAGCAATTTCTGAATAACATGAACTCCGCAGCCTTTCCTTTGTTGCTAGCCTTCTGGTGGAGATACTTGAAATCAATGAAGTAACAGAATGAAAATTGGATTTTTGAATGTTTGAGTTGATTACATCTTGTCTTTGAAATAATTTACATGAAAGAGCATGGCACACAATAGTGTTCAAAAAAGGTTTATGTTTTCTTGCTCATCATCACATTAAAATCATTTCCCCCAGGCCCTATTATTTATGTCTAGCATACTATTAGGCCCATGAATGGGACTCAGGCCCTTCCTTCTAAGAGGGTAACCTGAAACAGAAAACAAGTATAAGGAATCCAGACAGTTAAACAAATAGACACATGAGGATGATTTATCCCCTGGTCTCAGGTTCTCCTGCCTCCATTGTTGCCATCCCTTTCCAAGGTCTTCCCCTTTATTGCTATTACTCTCAAGCACACTTGCCCTACCTTTGGAAATAATTCCTGCTGCCTCTCAGTCTTTCTAGAATTGTCAAACATTGGAACCATGAATTATTTTCTACCATCTAAATCTTCAATCTGTCAGCCTTCTGAAACACTTCTGAAACATCTTTGCCAAGATACTGTCCAAATCAAGTAAACCCCCAAAGTGCAAAGTGGAAAACGATGTACACATGGGGACATGAGAAAAACTGTGCTTACTTCTCTAAGCATCATTATTCTCACTCATGAAGAATAAAGCTAGACTAGACAATTTTTAAAATTCTCTCCATCTAAATTCACTACTATAAATATCCTAATACTGTACATACATCCTTTATAAATATGGAGAGCATTCATAAAGGAATAAGAAAGAAGTTCTCAAACATTTGTTCAAGACACAAGGCATACAATACTATAATCTAGGCAAAACCTATAGCCATAGAATGAGAGAAAAAGTAGTTAAGAGAAATACTAAAAAGCATAAAGATGTAAAATTTGGCATAACATAAAAAGTGACAAATATGTAGGATTAGGCACAAAATAAAGATGAGGGGCACCTGATTGGCTAAGTCAGAAGAGCAAGCAATTCTTGATCTCAGGACTAGAGTTTGAGCCCCACCTTGGGTTATGAAAGTAACCCAAGAAGAAGTTACTAAAAACAATGAATAAATTTTTAAAAAAAGTGATAATATATCTTATATATCTATTATATATATATATATCTAATATGTCCATATAAAATATATAGATAGAAGATAGATAAGATTAAAGATTTTATTTATTCGACACAGAGAGATAAAGAAGAGGGAACACAAGCAGGGGGAGTGGAAGAGAAGCAGGACTCCTGCTAAGCAGGAAGCCTGATGCAGGGCTCGATCCCAGGACCCTGGCATGACCTGAGCCGAAGGCAGACACTTAGCAACTAAGCCACCCAGGTGCCCCAGTGATGCTATATATTGTAAGGAGAAAAAAAGCATGTCAAGGTGAGAAAATATGTAGCAAAATCTCTCTCTGTTTAGACTGATAAAATCTTAAAGATATGACTAGAGTAAAATTCCTAAGTAGACAAGAAAAGATTTATTTTCATTTAATTATTAAAAAATATTTACTGAAAGAGTGCCTAGGTGGCTCAGTTAGTTAAGCATCTGCCTTCAGCTCACGTCATGATCCCAGAGTCCTGTGATCTAGGCCCTGTCAGGCTCTGCTCAGTGGGGAGTCTGTTTCTCCTCCCTCTGCCTCTGCCCCTAACCCTGCTGGTGTTTGCTGGTGTCCGCATACTCACTCCCTCAAATAAATGAAATCTGTTAAAAAAATATTTACTGAATGACTAGTATAAAAAAAATAACAAAGTAACTTTAGTCAGTTATGGGGTATCCAAAAGGAACATAAAAATGGCTCCCCATCATTTCAAGACTATTCATAAAGGCCCCTATAAATATAAGGAATGGACCAAAGATCTGTTTTGTCAACAAGCATTGCTCCAGGGTCAGAAAAACAGTAAAAAAAAAAAAAAAAAAAAGAAAAAAGAAAAAAAGAAAGAAAGAAAAGAAAAGAAAAGAAAAAAGTAGAATGCCAAGTTTACCTTAACATTAAACTAAACACAGAGATTATCTCTAGAGCCTGCCAGGTCAAAACATGTAAGTATTCATCAATATTCACTTACTCCCTTTGTTGGGCCTGAAGGAGATTCACGAAAACTCTAAAGATCACTTGAGGGCAGAAATGCTTATAGATATAATCTCACAATGCCAGATTCTACAATGAGCTTTTCCCAAAACTTAAGCTACTCTGTCTAGAAAAATCACTCTTCTAAATTTAATTTCTGGAGTATGTTTGAAAAATTTGTTGCTGTATTGTTTATACAGGGCTCCTTTGTTTTAATCTCTTCTGTTATGCTGCTTAGACTACTCTTAAGCAATTATTATACTCTAGAAGGCTATAAACTTAAGCACAAAGGGTAACACTTCTTCTGCAGACCTATCTAAAGATATGTATGGCTTCTTTGTGGCCTATTAGCCTACTTAATACGAGCACATATATTAATACAACCTTTAAACGCAGAGGACTTGCCAATAAAATAGCCTCCAGATTTGATATCTACTCTGAAATCTGTCTTTTTAAATTAATGTTCAATAATATTTCCCTGGAGGTATATGTACAAGAAAATATCTGGTATCATGATCTACATTTTCCATCAAAGCATTCTCAGACCACAAAGTAATATAAGAAGACTTAATCCTCTATCTCATGTGGAGAACAGAAATTAGTTAATTACGAAAATGAGAATCTAAATACAGGGAAGGGAAATATTTGACCAATAGGATTAAAAAGTTAAAAAGGACAACAACTTTGTAATTTAACGAAGTTCAGAATTGTGATGCTCCCACTTTGTTTTTCAAGAGTGCTTTGGCTATTCAGGGTCTTTTGTGGTTCCATACAAATTTTAGGATTGTTTGTTCTAGCTCTGTGAAAAATGCTGGTGGTATTTTGATAGGGATTGAATTAAATGTAGATTGCTTTGGGTAGTATAGACATTTTAACAATATTTGCTCTTCCAGTCTATGAGTATGGAACATTTTTCCATTTCTTTGTGTCATCCTCAATTTCCTTCCTAAGTGTTCTATCGTTTTCAGAGTGTAGATCTTTTACCTCTTTGGTTAGGTTTATTCCTAGGTATCTTATGGTTTTTGGTGCAATTGTAAATGATACTGATTCCTTGGTTCTTCTTTCTGCTTCTTCATTTTTAGTGTACAGAAATGCAACCAATTTCTGTACATTGATTTGTTATCCTACAACTTTGCTGAATTTGTGTATCAGCAAATTTTTGGTGGAGTCTTTTGGGTTTTCTATGTAGAGTATCATGTCATCTGCAAATAGTGACAATTTTACTTCTTTCTTGCCAATTTGGATGCCTTCTATTTCTTTTTGTTGTCTGATTACTGAAGCTATAGTCATCAAGACAGTATGGTACTGGCACAAAAACAGACAAATAGATCAATGGAACAGAACAGAAAACCCAGAAATGGACCCACAATTATATGGGTAACTAATCTTCAACAAAGCAGGAAAGAATATCTAATGGAAAAAAAGACGGTCTCTTCAACAAATGGAGTTGGAAAAACTGGACAGCAACATTCAGAAGAATGAAACTGGACCAATTCCTTACACCACACACAAAAATAAATTAAAATGGTTGAAAGACCTAAATGTAAGATAGGAAACCAACAAAATCCTAGAGGAGAATTACAGGCAGCAACCTCTCTGATCTTGGCCATACCAGGTTCTTACTAGATGCATCTCCAGAGGCAAGGGAAACAAAAGCAAAAATGAACTACTACTGGGACTTCATCAAGATAAAAGGTTTCTCCACAGCAAAGGAAACAATCAAAAAAACTTAAAAGACAGTCCACGGAATGGGAGAAGATATTTGCAAATGACATATCTGAAAAAGGGTTAGTATCCAAAAATCTATAAAGAGCTTACCAAATTCAAACACCCCAAAACAAATAATCTGGTTAACAAATGGGCAAAAGACATGAATAGACATTTTTCCAAAGAAGACATCCAGATGGCCAACAGACACATAAAAAGATGCTCAACATCACTCATCATCAGGA